GCAAAAATCTTTGCTCTAGTCTTAAGCTATTTTTTCTTTTGATAACTAAAATTTTTCAAATTAATTCTCAAAGCTGGAGGTCATTTTAGCTTTTTAAACAAAAATTAGTTCAAAAAAGTGTAAATTGAATTTTTTCAAAATTCAAAACCGAGAAAATGAAGGATTTTCTCGAGTCTCTTGGCTTCGGAAGCCCCTTCTGAAACCTTTTTGCTTTAAAATATGTTCCAGACTTGAGCTTTTTACGATTGTTGAAGTGGGAGCAATTCCAGGGTTGATGGGAACACGGTTCATGAGAGTCGAGTGTTTGTTCAAACAAAACCATTCACAATGATACATAGCTGGCTATTAAATGAAAGAAAAGACTGTTTCAAAGCTGAGAAAAAGACTAAATCCGTAAATCATGGAAGGCATGAGAGTGAACGCGGCAAGAAAATCAGATCCGAAGACCCGAATCGTCGCGTCGAAAACGGATCAAACGCTTTCCAGTGACTTAAACCATCAGTCGATCAACTTTCTAGGATTCTGGAAACGAATTCGCCAATCCTGGATGTCACAATGGAGAATAGAAAGAGAAATTTAAAGTAAATCACCAAAATCGCAAAACCTGTTTTCTAAAGTGAGCTCCAGCTACCGTACCCCGATCAGTCGGTCAACTTTCTAGGATTCTGGAAACGAATTCGCCAATCCTGGATGTCACAATGGTAAATAGAAAGAGAAATTTAAAGTAAATCACCAAAATCACAAAACCTGTTTTCTAAAGTGCGCTTCAGCTACCGTACCCCGATCAGCGAAAAGGTGTAATTCAGGAAACGGGTATAAATATATAAATTTCAAGTACAAATAGATGAATTCAATAAAGAAAAAGCAAATTTACACATTGAGAATTCACATAAAAATTCAGCTAAAACCGCAAAAAACCGATCTGTTTTCTTGCCTACCCCGTACGATTAAAAAGGTGCGTTTTAGAAAGGCTTCTAAATCTATTAACGATTTCGTAAATCCTGGAAGGCACGAGAGCGAACGAGAAAAGAAAATCGAATCCAAATACACGAATTGTGACTGTCGAATCGTGATATATAGCTGGGTATTAAATGAAAGAAAAAACTGTTTCAACGCTGAAACAAATACTAAACCCGTAAATCCTGGAAGGCACGAGAGCGAACGAGAAAAGAAAATCGGATTCAAAGACACGAATCGTGACTGTCGAATCATCATCACAACGGCTCCAGTGACTTAAGCCATTACCCGATCAACTTTCTAGCATTCTAACAACGAATTCACTGATCCTGGATGTCACAATGGAGAATAGAAAGAAAAATTTGGATGTAGCGTTAAAAATCGTGGGCTCGGTTTAGGTCCAGATCCTGAGTGGAGAAGAAAGCCCCTTTTTCTTTTTTTCCTTCTTTGGCTTTTTTGGTGGTGTTGCTATCCATCCTGGGACACAAACATTTCAAAAAAAGGGCCAAAAGTGAAAGTGTAACACTGAGAAACGAGTCGACGCAGAAATTTCGAGAATCTCGTCGACATCAGATCCTCAAATGAGAGTGCTGAAAAGCTGAAGCTTTCTTAAATCCTACCAAAAAGTGGAATAGACTTTAAAAAAAATTAGTGTGCTATCCAGGAAAGACGAAAAAAGTTTTGCTTTGGGCTTTTCTTTAAAATTCTGGCTTCTATGGGGCCAGTCTCGATCCTAGGTAGGTGAAAGATTTTAAATCCTACCAAAAACCGTTTTGACTTTAAAAAACCGTAATGTGATATCCAGGAAAGACGAAAAAATCTTTAGTTTTCGTTTTTTTGCGATATTCTCGATTCTAGGAGGTCAGTTTCGTCTCTAAATCGAGAAAGATGACAAATAGTCGGAATTGTCTCCTCCGTGTCCCCTCTCACTATCAGACAGACAAAACAAAAAAAACAAACAGTCGACAAACACGATCACGATTTTTTTCTCTGTTTTTTAGTCTTTTGATAGGATGAGTCAGTGGCGATGAAATGACTTATCGAGTTTTTAAAGCTTTTTAAAAATAAAATTTTTTTAATAAAATTCGATTTTATAGTCTTTTGTGCATTCCAGCTTGGCTAAATTTAGTTTTCAAAAAAATAAGTTTCTCAGAAAAACGAGAATATTGATGGTGATCCAGAAATTTGAAAAAACCGAATGTTCAAAAATGCCAAAAAAATAACAAAATTCGATTTTATAGTCTTTTGTGCCTTCCAGCTTGGCTAAATTTCCTTTCGAAAAAATAAATTTCCTGGAAAAATAAAAAGATTTGCATTGATGAAGAAATGCTGATAATCGAAATCTTTCAACAAATTGTCAAAGCTTCTAGAAACACTGGGAATGTCAAGTGTGCATTCCAAGATATCAATTTCAAAAGTTTTCAAAGAATGTTATTCCTAGAAATCAAAGGAGTCTCAGGGGTAAAGGGATTGAGCATAACAGCGCTGACCCTAGGCCAGGAAACGGGAAAAAGAAAAGACAAAAAAGCATAGTGACGCCCAGGAAAAGGAAAGAGAGGGATTTCTTTCCAACATTTAACAACGGGCATGATTTGATTGGAGTTTTGGATTTTTAGGGGCAGAGAAACAAGGAAATGACTGGTAAATGGCTAAACTGATATTTCTGGAAAACTGAAATCTTCCTTAGCTAGAATAGCAACTCTTAGATTTACCTATTTGTCTTAAACATAATCATATTTATTAAATAACTTCAAAAGCGGTTCTCAGGAATCTTAATTTTAGTTTATATTGGGTTTAGATTAGTTTTTCGCTTGGATTCTCAACTTTTTAAGGTTAAATAAAGATTCTAGAAGTAGGAATGAGTTAGAAAATAGACTTGGATACAGAAGAAATAAGCAAAAATCATCTTCATTGACTTCCTGCTGAGCTAGATCCTTCGAAGTGAGTTGATAGAATTCTGTAGATGATGTTGATGTGGATCCAGAGCGCGTCAAAGATCCGATAGATCTCTGTAGATCCAAAACGCGTCAAAGAACCAGAACCTGCAATGAAAACGATAAAAATAAGGATTACTGCAGAATCATCTAAGAAAAACTAAAACTGAAACTGAGAACACATAAAAACTAAGAAAGTTATAGAGGTTGTCAACTGAAATTAAGTCAGAGAACAAACTAGGATTGTCAGCTAAATGTTCTTTTAGGCTGTGTGACGCGATTTCTCGAGTGGAGTGCCTAGAGGGAAAGGAAAGTGGAAGGGAAGGAAAGGAAAAGGCCAGCTGACTGACAATAGAGCCCATTCCCAAGTTCATTTGTGCGAGGGAACAGTGATAAACAAATCAAATGGAACTTTGTGAGAATGAGAAATGCAGAGGGTAATGGCTTTTAACCAGACTTTTGATAAATGTGTTTCATTTTTAAAAAATTAGCCTTTCATCTTTTCATCCTGGATTCTGGAAAAACCCTGACTTTTTCAATTCCTTTATCTACATCCATTGAAAGATAGAAAAGGCTAAAATCGACTCAACACCAGTCTCTTATGGTAAAATTCTGAATTCACAAAATTTGCTGGTATGCAGAATTTCGGACAAAGATAAAGTAGCTTTATTGATTTTATTTTTCGATATTCAGCTTACATAATTTTGGATCGATTTTAAGAAACAATCGGATGCATTGAAAGACTCAAATTTCTAATTAATAATCAGTTTTTTTGCTTCGCTACCAATCTAATAACAAAATTAATCGAAAGAATCGAATTCTCACAACGAAAGGAAGAGTTTACTCTTTCTTTTTACTATTTTTTTACTTTTACTTTTTAAGTTTTTCTTATTCTAGACTTATTAGATTAAAGATTAGTTTTAAATAATTTCCATGGCATAATCTAATTTGCCTTTTGCTAATATTCTTTTTTTTTACTTCTTTTACCCAATTTAACAATCTAAAACTTCAAATAATTGTAAAAATTGTAAAAATTGTGAAAAATATTGTAACTTCTGTAATTTTACAGAAATTATAGGAAATTCAGAAGGATCTTAAGGCAAAAGATTTCAGATAATGATCATCAATCTTCTGCATGACAAGATGGCGCGTTCTATCCGGGCGCGCGGAGCGATGCTACAGCGGTGTGCGGAGGGCAGGGACTTCTTCAGTGGGGGGCGATAATGCAGTTTTCCCCAATCCTGATAAACCCACCTTCAACACACCCATGCTCGATAGAGTATGGCAAGCAACTAACGTTGCATTATAATAGCATTATAATGCATTTTTTGGCATTATAATAGTTTTAAAATCGTAAGCGTCAATTTTATTATTTAGATGAGTGAAAGAGTTTCTCCGATTTCTTTTCTATCAAAATAAATCTAGGAATGTACGAGTGTCCTCCCTCATAAATATAATGTATCAAAATTTGTGAAATTTCAATTAATTTCAAACTATCCACGAAAATAGACAAGTTTATTTGTAGAAGTAAATTTTCGCCCCCGTAGCTCCAACACCCGAGCGGGGCTATAAATTCTGGCGATAAACTTCACCTTGCCTACCAGTATGTCCACAAAAGGGTATTTTGTGGGTGAAGTGCTAAAAATGAAAAAGAGCTTTCTGAAAAGTATAACCACCAAATATGGTTTTGTGTACATCCTCGTAGGTAAGGTGAAGTTTACCGGCAGAATTTGAAGCAATCTACGGTTCTACCGTAAACCTCTTGATGGCGCGTTCTAAAACGTGCTCCTTTCGTATATTTAAAGAAACTTTTTGCCATAAATTTCATTCTTCTCAATCCGTTCATTCTTCTCAATATTACAGTAACTTACGGTAGCTAGTTATAGTATTTTTTTAGTATTCCGAGACTTTTTCTTTTATTAATTACGGTGTTATCTCTGCTGTAATTTTTCATTTAGGGGAGATGTCGAACAGGCCGGAGAACCAACCATTGTTCCAAAAGGACTTCTTATCACAATTGCCAAAGGAGGTTTGTCAAAGCCTGTGGGAGTAATTGTTTAATTGTAGATTGCTTATCGCATCATCGCCCATCTGACACCGCGCGATTTGATGACTTGTGCTGGCCTTTCGCGGACGTGGCAACGGATTTGTGAAGACGATCAGACATGGCGACAGAAATGTTTCGAGAACGGATATGTGGAATTTGATGCGCCAAGGTTTGTTACAGTTTTGAGCCGATAATATAACACTTAAAAGTACATATCTGATAGATTTATAAGGCTAGATTTTAAGACTTGTAAAATATAGGATAATAATGTTATTGATTCCAAAGCAAACAATGATATAAGGCGAGAGAAAACATATGATAACGTTTGTTTAGATAAACTGGTTCATATTTAGGAAATCGATTGTAAAAGACTCGTCTCAAACGTTTTTTTAGTTTTCGTTTTCTCGGAGGTTGGGCGGCGAATCGAGCACAGCAAGCGGGAATCACAATCTGTTCACATATGGACTTTCAAGTAGCACAGCAGAATCGACAAGCACGTGAGGTCGCATATGGACAGTTAGTTACCTAACTTATTGCGAAATGAAGTGTTTTCTAGATGTTATGAGCGTTCGCCATGGAAGTCGCTGTACTTGCGAAAGAAGCGAATCATTTCGAATTGGCGATCCCGAGCGATTCAATCAAGCACTGTCCAAAAGGTTTGAATAAATGTTTTGGCTATAAAAATTGTTTTTAGGTCTATGGACACCGCTTTCAGGAAGAGATACAAGTTCACTCTAGTCGTATTGTTACTACTTCTCATTATCATTACTTGCAGGTCTGGAATGTTGATGATGCTCAAGTTTGTTTCGTTTAACTATTGTTTTACGTCTTCATTTTGCCGGCTTTCAATCTAGCTCGCCAGAACGGTCCCGGTGATTCGTATCAAGTGAGCGAAGATGGCAAATACATTGTCAGGTTGGCTAATAGACTATAGCTAGTGCAATTCATAAGTGTTGCCAATGAAGCTAAAAAGTATCAAACAAAAAACCGTATGAGAACAAAGTCTATTGTAATATTTCAGTACCGGGTTTCAACGTGGAACGGTGGACGTTTTGTGTGGTCAAACCGGTGCACAGCTTCATGTTCTGCGGGGACATACGGATCAGATTCGATGCATCCGTCTACATGGCACAACGTGAGCGATCGGAATTTTCTGTTGAGCTAAGATCATAATGTTTTAGTCTTGTTTCTGGATCGTGGGATCAAACACTCCGAGTCTGGAACATTGTCGACGGTAAATGCCTTCACATTTTGGCTGGCGAGGCGTGGTATGTGGTATGTGTATTAAAGTTATGGCTGGAACAAAGTTAAATTTCAGAATTATTTGCAATTTGATGGAAAACGGGTTGTATTTGATGGCCGTGATTGTACCGTAAAGGTTTATACAGTTATTAGTGTAATTTATAATATTCTATTAGGTTTGGCATCTACACACGGAAAAGTGTTTGCACACGCTGACGGGTCACACAAGTGAAGTTACTTCACTTTTGGTGAGTTCAATTGTCAAATTTTCGCTTTAAGCAGGATTCTGTTTTAGTTTGAGCCAGAGCGCGATCTTGTCGTGTCGGGTAGTCGTGACGGAACGATTCGGGTCTGGGATGTGCAAAGAGGAAGTGCGTTTTACTTTTTCACTATTCTGTTACAATGTCATCTATATTAGTTTCTTTCAGCATGCATCACACATCTTGTCTTGCATGAATGGTCACCGCTCCTTTCTATTAAGGTGCAGTTACGCGGAAACATTTTGGTCTCCAAAATGTCCGATATTCCTCACGACCCGGAAGTTAAGGTGTGTTTAATCAATCCTATGAAAACTACTTCCATTTCTTTAGGTTTGGGACATTCGTGAGGGTGGCTCGTGCCTTCACCACTTACATGGCGGAAATGGTCATACGTCGCTCATCACTTCATTGCAATTGCTCGACTCCGGACTTTTGGTGACAGCTTCGGATGATGTGGTGAAGCTGTGGGATGCGGAGAAAGGTATGCTGTTTTAAATTACCTATAGGACTATAGGACACAAAATCCATACGATAGGCTACAAAATCCAGACTTCAAGTTTTTATCTAGACTAGTGTTTATAACTACATAACATGATTGATTGACGATTCAGGCTTAAAAATATGTTGATGGTGGTATTCTGTTGTTAATTTTTTATCAACTATGCGAGAATTTTACATTTTCAGGTATCTTTGTTCGTGACCTCATTCGGCTTCAATATCAGAATCGGATTCTGGATCTCAAAGCCACTGAAACATGGCTCGTATGTGGAGTTCAAGCGGGATATTGGGGCATGGGGGACAGGCTCATCTACATCGATTTTGACGCATCGTATCCATAGGTATATTTGTATTTTGCTCTTTCCCTATTGTGATTTTCCGAAGAATTCTGTCGGTTTTTCCATTCTCCTGAACTTTCATTGCTTGTGATTTCGTTTCAATGATTACCCACATTTGATATTCCATGGTCTGCTTTTTGTGAACCTTTTTTTCCATTAACCTGCTGTTAGTCATTGACCTTCTTGAATGTTTTAAAATCGTCAAGTGTGACCAATCTGGCCTCATTTTATTTTCTATTTCTTCGAACAGCGTTGAGTTTTCATGAGAGGCCCTTTTCGTCTTACTAGGTCCAAATTTCTGCCAAGGTCAGGGTCTTTGAAACTTCATACAGAAAAACTTTGAAATGCCCTTCCTTTAACTTTACGCCAAACAAATTCCTTTTTCGCTTTCTCAAATGGCATAAAGAACCTCACCCTTATGTTTTTGCTTTGAATTTCGCAAGCTTCGTTGGTTCCTGTAAACATTCGATATTTTTTTAATCCATATCAAGGCCTGTGATTCTTTATTTGCCCACTTTTTCAACGCTTTATGAATAAAGTATATATCTCTTGTTTGCTGGCGATTGTTCTCATAACAACGGTCGTTTCCTTTTTTGTCAAGAGTTCCCTTTTGTGATTATTTCCAGAGCTGTTTGTGATGCTTTAAACTGTGTAAGTCGTATTTGTTATGTTATGCACGAGCGATATTGGATTGTTTTCAAAAATGAGAAAATCGATGGAAATTCTTTTTTTGATAAGCTATTTACTTTGGATCATTTGCGGTGATGCGGATTTGACGAATCGGGAGGATTGTACGGATCGTGAGTTTTTTGAACAGGTTTTGATCGGATTTGACTTTTTTGACTGTTGAATCAAAAGAATATCTTACTATAAGCATAATTTCAACCAGAATCAGGCTAGATCTTGTTCAGATTCGATCAAAACTCGACCATGAGAAGTCTTGGCCAGATCCCACAGGCCAGAGAGGCCAGTGGGACATTTGCCTTACCATTGAATTGGCTTAAAACCTTGGCTTTGGCTCGGCCTAGAATGAACAGAACTTGACTCTTTCGCTTTGGGCATTCGGTCTGGGCATTCAAGGCCAAATCATGCAATTTACCTTTCTTTAACAGTCTTCTAGTATCGATCTATCACAAGAACACGAATTGCACGCAACGTTTCATGCTTAATATGGGCATTGTTGGGTTGCCAACGCTGAGCTGTCGAGATTTTGCAAACTTTCGAGTCACTGGTGCCGCTGTTTAGGTCTTGTATCGCGGCTGAGAAGGCCAATCCACAAGATCAAAGATTGGCAGACAAAGAAAATAGACAAGGCCAGGCCTGGAAGCCAGAAGCTGGCCTCAAGGAATCTGAGCGATCCTTTTTCAGCCATTTCTTTACCCTTGGTGCAACGGGTTGCGATGTGACGCCTTCCAAACAATACAACAACATTCGTAGTTTCAACGCTTTTCACAAGCCACAAGTTCCACAATAGCCTCGATCAATCTAGGGAATCGAGCTCGACAGCAATAAGGTCGAAGAGGCGATGAACAACATCAGAGACGCGACAGAGAACTACATCTCATATGCAAGTTTTTCTTGAAAACGTTTCATCTTTCATTTTAATGAATCTAACACAATTTTGAAATCTAGATTTTTTGAGGTGATTGACTCTTTACAAAACAACGAGGCAGTAAGCACGAATTATGGTTTGTGCACACCCACTTTTGCGCCAGTTTCCAGACAGCCGCAAACGGGTGTGTTCAAGGTTTTGGAATAGGAAATTGACCACCGGATTCCAGAGTTCCGGGTCTAGAGCCGGGTCGAATGCCAGGTCTGGTTGTTCTGGTCGAATCTCAGACCCAGTGGCCAAGGCCAGGCCAGACTCTGCTTCTGGATGACTTTACTTGACCTGTCGTTGATCCAGATCTGGCCAGCCTTCTAAACTAAAAGATCGTTTTCATCCCATGTCCCTTGTAAGGATGTAAGGATGTAAGACAGATCGGCTGCTGGTCAAAAGCAAGGTTCAGTCCACTGGTTGACATTGAGCTCATGAAAATAGACTTGCTGCTGATTCTAATGCCAGAAGCTCTGGCCTGACCGACCATATCTATCTATTGATACCTGTTTCCGGCCCTAGTCTAGGCTTGTTCTAATCTGCCAAAAGCAATGACAATGGTTTATTGGTTTATTATGGCCGATCGTAAATCAATGGCCTTTCTGCTATCTCTTTCCTTAGGTGGTGCAAAGGGTAAGTTGGCTTAGGCTCAGGCTTGGCTTTGGCTTAGGCTCAGGCTTAGGCTCAGGCTTGGCTTAGGCTCAAGAAATCTAGTCAGCTTTCTTTAAGAATCCAGCCGTAAGTGAATTGAATCTCTACCGTATACCTGTTTAGTTGTGGTACAAACGGCGCCTCGATGATCAAGATTTGTATGCGGTTGTGAAAAAGGTTGTTGTCTATTTTCTTTAAGAATTTTTCATTTACAGGATCAAATCTTCGCCACAGTGAACCCGAATCAACGGCAGAGGAATTGATTTCAAAAACACTTTTGATAATTCAAATTTATCCGATTACATACAAAAAACTATCTACAAAATACCCTGTAAACTGGCCAAAAAAAATGAAAGAAAAAGCAAGGCATTCAAGAATAAAGTGCATTGCATTGAAATATCGCTAAAAATACTGTAAGAACCCGCATAAAATTAGAAAATCGATGTGCCAAATAGGAATCAAATAGTTAAATTATCAAAAATGGAAAGCATGAGGTTTAGGGTAAAGAAATTTACAGTAAAAGTAAAGTTTTTTTATAAGCAATCAGCCTAGTGCCTTCCAGATCTTACAATCTACTCAAAAAATCGTCTAGAAGATGAACGGAGAGCTGGCCACGGTCGTGTACTTGATCGAGGTCACGAAGGGTGGAGAGCTAAAAAGTGATCTAGACGCCGTAAAATAGCTTCTTTTTGTAGCATGACATCCAGAATTTAGAAATTTGACCTTAAAAAAGCGAGTTAACTGTTTTATAGTGTTTTCTTGGACTTGAGGTCATAGAGCGCTGGTCTGTTAAACTAGTCTGTTATAAATAGTGATCAAGCTACAGTAACTCGACCTTTTTTGAAGCTGACATCCAGGATTTAGATATCAGCGAGATTTTTTGGCTATAATGCTTTTTTGACGATATTTCACCTGGGTCTCGTTTGCTCCAACGGCGAGAAACTCGTAAATCATTGATCGATAGATTTGAGTGGCTGTTTTTGCGTCATCTGAACGATTTATGATTGTTCCCTTGCTTCAAGCCAAAATGCTGATTTTTAAAACAATTACCGCCGCCGTTCCCCTTCTCGACAACATCATCAAAGTCGACGAATAACGGGATGAGCTCGGCGTTGAGAACGAACTGAAATTTGAAATTTTCTTGAAATTTCTTCGATCTGGAGCTCACAGCAGTAGTTCACGAACTTGTTGCCTTCGAAAGTCCCGAAAATCGATCTCGGAGTTGCGGAGGAGGAAACCGGTGATCTGATGGACGATGGCGATCCGTTGCTGTAAAGTGACAGCCAGCAGGGATAAAGTAGTCACTGGCTGGCCTTTTTCAATCAAAATCGAGTAGTTATCCAGCTCGGCACAATAGGAGAAGAGCTAGAAATGGAAACTCGATGAAAACTAGCGTTTTCCAGTTTAACTTGTACAGATTTCATTTTCAAAGCCATTTATCACCCCGAATAAGATAGAATTCCCAAAGCGAGTTTCGAGCTTTCCCCCCCCCCCACAAAATATAACCCCAAACCAAAATAAAAAAAAAAAAAAAAAATATCAAAAAAAAACCAAACCACAAAAAAAAAAAATTTTAAAAAAAAAAAAAAAAAAAAAACTTTTAGAGTAAGCCTTGTGCGTTCCAGGATGAACTTTCAATTCGAAATCGACCCACGTTAGGCACATTCGGGTCATTTTCTAGCCGTTTGAGCCAGAGGATTTCGCGGAGGAAAGACTCGCGGAGCTGCAATTGGCAGAGTTTCTCCTGGAAATTGGTTTTTTAAGTGTCGTGTGTTCTAGATCGGCTAAATCTGTTGAGAAATTCCCGTACCGAGTCGATTTTCGTGAAAAATTTCTTCTGACAAAGGCGCATCGAGTGGCCGCTAAGGTGCGGAGTTTTTAGAGCAAATTCCTCAAAAGAGTAGACTCGTTTATTCCATCCCTCGCCCAAGACGGGATATTTTGGGATAATTAATCGATCGATGCATTTGATTGAGACTGAAAAACAATAGATGAATCTAGGTCCTGTAATTAGTGAATAAAAAATATGAATTTTCGCTTTTTCCTGGCTTAGATTCTTTTAACGTTAGCATATTGTCGTAAAAAACTGATGAAAAGACCAACCATTTAAGCCAGGTATTCTTAGTCCGTCACTTGTTTTGATTAACGAAGCGCCAAGCGGAAACACGGGTGAATCTAAATTGGTTTCATTTAGCTTTAAGACTGATTTGGATGAAATTGGAGGGTTAGAAGAGAAGTTTTTAAGGTTTTTAAAGAAGCCTAGAGCTGACTTTTCAATAATCTTCAAAAGAATAGCTTTGCTTTCATTTTCTTGATCATTTTACTCTTTAACTCGATGTGCCCGTGATTTAGCCAGGCGCGCTATTCATTTAGCCCTATTCAATGGCTTGTAAAATGTTTTGTACATCTCCAAACGGGAAACTTTAAAGAAATAAAAGTAAAGAAAGATTTCGAGATGCTTTCATGTTAAATTTGAATTTTCAGTCGCAAATAAATTTTGTGTTTCTCTTTGAAATGAGAAAGAAATCTATTTCCATGTTGGAGCCGAGGGGAGAATCTGGAACTTTTCGTAGCCGGACCACAATGAAGGTCAAACACAAAGTAAGATTGTTTGCGGGATTCAATGGAAACAACGAAAGCAAAGCTCGTTTCCTGGGCCGTTACAAAACTTAAACGTAGCCAATATTAAGCGCTTGATCATTTTCAGATAACATTTAACATATTAGGGTTGAAATTGGCGCTTGGGAGATACGAAAAAGAAGTCGCCGTAAATACTGAACACCTCGTGAACTTATTGTTTGGTAGTTCTGGCCTGCGCACACAAAAGTGCATGCCGGCGCTGGCTGGAAGCTCAAGACAGTCAGACAGTCTTGAGCCTGGCTTCTGACCTGGCTAACTGATCTTCGGGCCCGATTGGCAAATTTCCGATGATCAGCAATAACGCCGTGTTTTCCCTAATCGTAGTGCACCCCGCCGAGCCGAGTTGATGCCGATTTTACGGTTTCCAAGTTTTGCACAGAAGGTCAACACTCTAATCCCCCACAAGATCTCATCGTCAGATCTACATTTTCCAACCCCACATCGATAGATTCTGATAAGGGATTTTCGAGACTTCGAGCAATTTAGGGTGCAGCAGGGAATCTGAAATCTGAAATCTGAAAACCGACCTTCCAACGGGAAATACGCATCTTCCAGCCACAAAGCGACTTTCCAGAGATCTTTTCGATAGTTGATCGCCAGTAGGGAAACAAGAATAATCAGAAAAATGATTTCTTTGCCCATTCTTTCAACATTTTTCAGCTGTTTTACATATCTGAAAGTTGAAAGGTTTTTAGCTGAGAGAAACGGACATTTTGACCGACAAACGGACTTTTCAACAAATCCCCAGGGATTTTCAAGTCAAGAAAAAGAGGCGGCGATGAAAAATTGGGAGAAAAAATTGACAAAATCGAGAAAAAGGCTTCAATGATCGAGTGGCAGAGTCAATTCTCGAATGTAAATTGTAAATTTTCTGATAAACCGCAGTTTCGTTGCCAGTTTTCATTCGATTAACTCAATTTTGAGCCCAATTGATCAAATTTTGTTATTCCTTTGTCAAATGTGACTAAAATTAAGCTGATCAAATGGAAATCGGCGGTCAGATTCCAGTAGTTTTTGTGTAAAGAAGAATTTGAAAGAAGCTAGAGTGGCCCCCTAATCTAAACTGCTTTCAAAACGTTCCCTAAATCGTTCTCAACCCTCCAATAGCCTGCTTAAGTCTATATTGTGGAATTTCTAAGCTTTTTAAGCTAAAACCGAGAACGGGTACAGGTACATTAAGATTAAGATTAAGCCATAAACTATTCGGTTGGCCAATAGTCAATTTCAAAAAGAAATCTTTCTTCAATAAAACGACCTTGAATCAATACAAAAAAATTTTCATCTTTTTCTTTTCCCTATTTTAGAAAGAAACTTTCCCCTATTTTACTTAGTAGAGGGCGAATTCTTCTCGCCTCAATCTTTGAATCTTTGAGTCAAAAATCTTTGATTTTGAGTCTACTAAAGTCTATACTAATTCTGTACCCATTTTTTGGTATCTTTTTCATCTTCAAAGTGCTCTAGGGCATTTTCCATTGATCCACTGATCAAAATGAACGGTAATCTGATGTTAGATCTGAGGAATATGCTGCCTAAGCGAGAAGTTCTCAGTCCGGGTTCTTGATTGTTCTTGGTTGCTTTAATATCCGACATTTCTCCAATAGTTAGGCTAGTTATTTTCTAAAGACTGTGATCTTAATGATTTTGAAGAAAGAGCTGAGACTAGGATATAAAAACGAGCAACAGCAACAAGACTTCAGCGGCGAATGAGTAAGATTGGATGAAGTTTGGAGTTGGATCGAGTTGGATCAACTGGATCAAGACTTCAACGGTTCTGCAGTAAAGGGAAAGGCTCGAAAAGCAATAAACCTCTCTAAATTGGTAATAAATTCAAAGAAGTGTCAGGGTTTGCGGGTAAATGGCTAAAAATATCAATAGAGTCAAAATTTAGAGGCTAGGAGTCGCGCCCGATTTTCCCAAAGGAGACATCAATCACCCAGGGAAATCACAAATAGTGAAGAGAAAGGAAAAAGGAAGAAAAGAAGAAAGGAAGATGGGAAGTGGTTGATTGACTTTGACGGAATTTTTGAATGAATTGGTAGAGACTTGGAAACGGTAAGATTGACGATTCTATGCATATTGTCAAAATCGAGAATGTTTGAAAAGCCAAAAACGGCCATCGAGTACCAATCGAATTTAGCCGAAAAAAACAGAAAACCCTATTCAATTGTCACTAGGAATAGTTAGATTAACTTTTCGAAAAGGCAGCACACTTTTTTACACCCAAGAAGCGATCGAATCTCGGATCGGCCCTTCTCGAGATCGTTCAATCAAAACAACTGTCGCCGGCGCTCTCGATCAATCAACAAAATAAGATTTCTTTTTAAAGTTCTTTTTAAAGCTCTTTTTAAGCGCTGATTATCCAATGCGCTCCAGAATCCACTAAAAAGTATGCAAATTCTCGATAGAATCAAAAATTTTCAAGAAAATCTCTTGCTCTCTTTCAACCCTGATAAGCTAAAATTTCAAAAATCGTCTTTAAAAGTAAATAATTAAATTTAAAGCTACTGTGACATCCAACTAGACGAATGGCTAACGGTGGGTGACAAATTTCTCAATTTTCAGGCAGAAATTGACAAGGGAAAGGCAAGGGGCGCTGCATAATAAACATATCAATTGTGCGGGGTGGAATTGGCGGCCAAAAAGCGAAAAGGGGCATAATTTGATGAACTAGATGGGGGAAAGGGGAATGGTTTATCATTTTTGAAGCAAATGGAGGCAGGGGAGGGGTGGGGTGGTTATCTGTTGTTCGATCTACAACAGGCATCCCCGGGACTCCAAAAAAAAACTGCCGCAAAATCAAAATAATCACTTTTTCAGCTCAAGTGCCTTCCAAAACAAGTGTGCAAAAGTTTTTAGGATACCTTTTTGAATCCATAGCGCAGAAAATCGTTCAAACTCTTCTTTGACTCAAAAAGTTTTAAAAAATTTGGGAAATTCTTTAAGCAAAAACGTTTCTCGGGGTTGATCTTGATTTGGATAGGAAAAAGAAACAGAAAAGGTCATTTCTCAACTCGAAACTGCTTCGAAATGAAATATTGCCCTTGAAAATCGGGGAAGAGTCAAGAAAACAAAGAGGAAATGGGCAAAATGGGCAAAAGTTGAGGAGTTTCTTTGGGATTTATTGTCAAGGGGAATTTTTTGGCATTTTTCGAGACCAAGAAATCCGAAAAGGGATAATTTTCAGTTTTTTTTCGAGATGCGTAAACAAGTCGATAGAATTTATGAGTGATTGGAAGTGAAAATTTATGAGTGCAAGTCGCAAATTCCCTTGCTTATCACCGATTCTCGTGTCATCACAAAGGGGCATCATTGTCTGAAGAAAAAAGGGGAAAAGGGAAAGAGAAAGAGAAAATCACAGATTAAGTCCAACAGATCGTAATTCTTAGGAGCTAGACAAAGATCGATCGTCAAATTTCACGTACATCTTTCAAATCGTTGATCGTCGACAGATCACAGAATTCAACAATCACTCGTGACTCCCAAAACATACTTGATTCTGCAACTGATCATTTTCAACAATTTCCAGGGACATCATTCGCATCCCGAAGCAATTTCAAAACGATGAGAATGTTCTAATAATCGCCGCGAATCAATACGAACTTTGGGCAACTGGCGATTCCGACCAATCTGGCCCCATTTTACTTTCTTTCCCTTCGAACAGCGTTCAGTTTTCAGAAGAGACCCTTTTCGTCTTACTAGGTCCAAATTTTTGTCAAATGCAAGGTCAAGGTCTTTTAAGCTTCGTACAGAAAAACTTTGAAATGCCCTTCCTTTAACTTTACGCTAAACAAAGTCCTTTTTCGCTTTCTCAAATGGCATAAAGGACCTCACCCTTATGTTTTTGCTTTGAGTTTCGCATGCTTCGTTGGTTGCTGTAAACACTCAATATTTTTTAACGCTTTTTAAATGAAATATATTTAAACTGTGTAAGTGGTGTTTGTTACACAAACACTTCCAACACTTAAATTTGTTTTAGTTTTCGTTTCAAGAAGTAACACGATGAGTTTTTCGTATTGAAATTTATGAACAAGAATCAACATTTACAGCTCAACATTGATGATAAAAAGTGAAGTAACAAACAAAACTTTACCACCCACAAAAAGGACAGAATAAACGATCTTTCGCAACACCTATTTTCTGCAAAATCTTTGCTGGCGATTTCTTTTAGCAAAAAAAGAAAGAGCATCTATTCTAGAATTCTTGTTAATAGATTTCTATATAGAAATTCAGTATGATACCACGTGAAATATAAGAATAAAACAAAGTTGTGCTGAAAGATCAAAATAAAAAGAATTGTTTGGATCTCGATCCAAAAGTTCACCTTAAGTGGGTACACTTTCTTCGTTAGTTTCGTGTAACAAAATGGTAAGCAAGATTCTGTTGCTTGAAACGTGTGAACAATGAAAAGTTAACAAGCACACCGTACATTTGAACACTGTAGGCCTAAAACCAGAGCTTTTGTCGGAGGGAAAATTTGTAGATGTAGACTTGGCCCTTCATTCTTTGTAATGGTATCGTATTCATTGAAGGATTTGGCGTTTGGCGGTTGATTTGAGTTGCTTCTTTGCCAATATCAGTTGCTTGTGCAGTTTATTTAGATTTAAATCGGTGAGGCATAGATTCTTGAATCTTGAAAAATCGAGCAAATAAAGAATCACAGGACTCGATACGGACTAAAAATAATCGAACGTTGAAAGCAACCAATCAACTAATTCGAAGGAATAGTCATTTTGAAAGATGGTTTGCACTTGACGATTTTGAAAGATTTCAATGATTAACACCAGGTTTATGGAAAAAAGAATTCACAAAATCAAAACTATGGCATATAAGTATATAAAATGTTGGTAATCATTGAAAGGAAATCACAAGTAATGAAAGTTCAGAAGAAAGGAAAAACCGACAGAAGACTTCGGAAAATCACAATAAGGCTTAGAAAAAGAGCAAAAATACAAATATACTTATGGATATGATGCGTCAAAATCGATCAAGATGATCTTTGTCTCCTCTACCGATCGAAATCCACATACGAGTAATGTTTCAGAGGCTTCGAGATTATAATAATAACGGCCAGGGTCACCCGAACGAGATCGAACGAGCTCCCGAACGAAGGTACCTTAAAGTGAAAAAAATTAACAGCAAGACAATAAACTTTGCCATAGATTTAAGCTTGAATAGTTGACGAGCCAAGTTATGTAGTTAATAAATGCTAATTTAAACCCCAGCTTGCAGTCTGGAACTTCTTGCCTATAGAATTAGGTAATTTAAAACAGCATACCTTTCTGCACATCCCACAGCTTCACCGAGCCATTCATCGAACCTGTCACCAAAAGTCCGGAGTCGAGCCATTGCATTGAAGTGATGTTCTCCGTACGACAATTTCCGCCATGTAAGTGGCGAATGCATGAGCCACCCTCACGAATGTCCCAAACCTGAATAAAAGCAGTGTAGTTTTGATAGGATTGATTAAACATACCCAAATGTCCGAGTCGTAATAGAGGACCAAAGTGTTCCCGCGAAGCTGCATCCCAAACCAACCACTGAGCCGACGTGACCTTTCATGAAAGGCAAAATGTGCGAGGCATGCTGAAAGAAACAAATATAGATGACATTGTAACAGAATAGTGAAAAAGTAAGACCCACTTCCTCTTTGCACATCCCAGACGCGAATCGTTCCGTCATTACTACCCGACACGACAAGATCGCGCTCTGGCTCAAACTAAAGCAGAATCCTGATTAAAGCCAAAAATTGATAATTCAACTCACCAAAAGTGAATCTAATGGCTCCGTGTGACCCGTCAGCGTGTGCAAATACTCCTTCGCGTGTACATTCCAAACCTAATAGAATATTATCAATTGCACTAATAACTGTACAAACCTTTATGGTAAAATCATGACCACCAGATACAACCCGCTCGCCATCAAATTCCACAAAACACACCTGAAATTTACCTTTGTTTAAGCCATAACTTTAATACACAAACCCCCGCCCCGACAACCCAAATTTGAAGGCATTTCCCGTCGACAACGTCCCAGACTCGGAGTGTTCCATCAATCGATCCAGAAACAAGACCAAAACATGATCTTAGCTAAAAAAGAAAACTCAGATCACTCACGTTGTGCCATGTAGATTCATGCATGAAATAATATTCGTATGTCCCCGCAAAACATGAAGCTGTGCACCGGTTTGACCACACAAAACGCGCATCGTTCCATCAAGCCCGCTACTGAAATATTACAATAGACTTTGTTGTCATAAGCATTTTTGTTTGAATCATTTCAGCTTCATTGCCAAGTCTTATGAATTGCACTAGTTATAGGCTATTAACTAACCAGACAATGTATTTGCCATCTTTGCTCACTCGATACGAAAGCGGGGACTATTCTCACCAGTTAGAGTAAAAGCCGGCTAAATTCGGACGTAGAATAACAATTAAACAAAACAAACTTGAACATCTTCAACATTCCAGACCCGCAACGTCTTATCATGAGAACCAATAGTGATAAGAACAGACTGATTTTCTTGATACCAGACATGAGTAACGTCATCCTAAAAACCATTTTTTCAGTGAAACCATTTATTCAAACCTCTAGAACAGCGCTTGATTGAATCGCTCTGGATCGCCAATTCGAAATGATTCTCTTCTTTCGCAAGTACATCGACTTCCATGACGAACGCTCATAACAGCTATTAGGTTGATGCAAAAGTCTTTTTCATTTTTTTCGTACTTCTGTTAAAAAGTAACAAATGCACCAATTAAACTACGGTTGGTTTCATTAGAAAAACCAATTATTTTTCTGCAAAATAACATTAAAACGGGTTTAAAAATATTTTATGCCTGGATTTTCTTGAGAGTATGAAGTCGGGTAGTCAAAAAGGGCTAACTCGATGATGCGGTTTAGACACCTTAGCTAAAGAAAACCTATCTTCGTGTCAATAGATAAAAGGATAGAGAAAAAAAGTTTGATATTTCGCCAAAATTTCAGAGAAATTCATTCAGCCAATTTTTCTGTAGAGTTTTTTCTAGATTTTTACGAAAAAGGCGTTTTTCACTCTCGAATTTGCTTGAAAGTGAACCGAAATTGATTTAAAAAGATGGAAATTGAACAAAAAAACACTTTTTTTATAGAGCAAACTATAGATTAATTGGTGAATTTGTTACTTTTTAACAGAAGTACGAAAAAAATGAAAAAGACTTTTGCATCAACCTAATAGAAAAAACTTCATTTCGCAACAAGTTATGTCACTAACCATCCATATGCTATCTTGCGTGCTTGTCGATTTTGCTGTGCTTCTTGAAGGTCCATATGTGAACAGACCGTGATTCCCGCTTGCTCATTTGCTCGATTCGCCGCCCAACCTTCGAGAAAACGAAAACTAAAAAAGCAAGTTTGAGACGAGTCTTTTTACAATCGATTTCCTGAATATGAACTAGTTCATCTAAACAAACATTATCATAAGTTTTCTCTCGCTTGATATCTTCGTTTGCTTTGGAATTAACAACATTATTATCCTATCTTTTACAACTCTAAAAAGCTAGTTTAATATAAATCTATCAGATACGTACTTTTAAGTATTATATTATCGGCTCAAAACTGTTACAAACCTTGGCGCATCAAATTCCACATATCCGTTCTCGAAACATTTCTGTCGCCACGTCTGATCATCTTCACAAATCCGTTGCCACGTCCGCGAAACGCCAGCACAAGTCATCAAATCGCGCGGTGTCAAATGGGCGATGATGCGATAAGCAATCTAAAATTAAACAATTACTCCCACAGGCTTTAACAAACCTCCTTTGGCAATTGTACCAAGAAGTCGTTTTGGAACAATGGTTGGTGCTCCGGAGTTGAGTCTTGCTGCTTTCTTGTCTTTCCGACATCTCCACTAAATGAAAAATTACAGCAGAGATAACATCGTCATTAATAAAAGGAAAAGTCCTCGAACAAAATACTATTACTAGCTCCTGTAAACACTGTAAGAGTACCCCGCCCAAGTGGCACGCACTAGAGGCCGGTGGGGTACTATCACAGTATTTACGGTACATACACCTGCTGAACCAATTGCAAAGAATGAAATTTACGGCAAAAAGTTTCCTTAAATATACGAAAGGAGCACGTTTTAGAACGCGCCATCAAGAGGTTTACGGTAGAATGTGCACAAAACCATATTTCACTTTTCAAAAAGCTCTTTTCCATTGCGCTTTTTCGCACTTCACCCACGAAATACCCTTTTGTGCACATACTCGTAGGTAAGGTGAAGTTTATCGGCAGAATTTAAAGTCCCGCTCGGGTGTTGGAGCTGCGGTCGGCGAAAATTTACTTCTTTGTTTTACATTTTGACTTTAAAGCTAGGGTCTAGCTAGTGTAGAAGGGGTAATTTAGCATTATAGCAGCCAAAATTTGGCATAAGCCTCAGCGTTTAGTGATCAATAAAGATTATTATCGCTAGATCAATAAAGATCAATATCAATAGTGATTATTATAAAAAGACGATGAATAGCCATCTAGTCCCCTTATTAGCTGAGTCAGAATGGAAAGCCCAGGTCCAGACTTTTATCTTTTCGACTCTTGTTTTCGATTTTCGGCGGTATTAAGGTTAAAAAGCTATCGACAATTGCAGTCATTCTGTTGCCGATTCCGATCATTTTTCTCAAAGAACAAAACCTTCAACAAGTGCTTAGAAAGAGATTAAAGTTGTATTGACGGGGATTTGTCTTTGAGAGTTATCAGACTTTCCTCTTTTCTCAAGCATTCTAAAGCACAAAGCGATGTTCGATTGTTTTCAAAAATGAGAAAATCGATGGAAATTCTATTTTTGATAAGCTATTTACTTTGGATCATTTGCGGTGATGCGGATTTGACGAATCGAGAGGATTGTACGGATGGTGAGTTTTTTGAACAGGTTTTGATCGAATCTGACTTTTTTAACTGTTGAATCAAAAGAATATTTTACTATAAGCCTAATTTCAAACAAAATGAGGCTAGGTCTTGTTCAGATCAAAACTGGACCATGAGAAGCCCTGTCCAGATCCCACAGGCCAGAGAGGCCAGGGAATTGCGTCTGAGCAATTATCCTTTCTTTAACAGTCTTTTAGTATCGATCTATCAAAAGAACACGAATTGCACACAGCGTTTCATGCTTTATATTGGCATTGTTGGGTTGCCAACGCTGAGAGATGTCGAGATTTTGCAAACTTGCGAATCACCGATGCCGCTATTTAGATCCTGTATCGCGGCTGAGAAGGCCAATCAGAGCACAAGATCAGAGGTTGGCAGACAAAGAAGAAGACAAGGCCAGGCCTTGAAGCCAGAAGCTGGCTTCAAGGAATCTGAACGATCCTTTTTCAGCAATTTCTTTACCCTTGGTGCTACGGGTTGCGATGTGACGCCTTGCAGTCTGTTCTACTGCTTGTACTCAAGATCTCGAGTCGTAACTGTGAGTTTCAATTTAAATAAACTTTTAACTTTATAAATCTCCTAGTTTCAGTATTAACGCCTTTTAAAGGAAAATACGATACTAATTGGTTGAGAAATTTGATGAAAAGAGTTTTCGACGAGGATTTCGTCATCAAAGTGATCTTCAACGCCGAGCGATCGGTATTCATTAGAGAGATTTCCAAGGCCAGACGTCAGCCCTGGTTTGGTCAGAGTTGACGATTGCTTGACCAAACCCTCCTGAGCGGACTCATCAGCTGACTATTGATAGAGCTAAAGCTGGTTACAGCTAGACTAGTCTATAGGTAACCAAATCCAAAAAGACCAGAAGCCACAAGTTTCACAATAACCTCGATCAATCTAGAGAATCGAGCTCGACAGCAATACGGTCGAAAAGGCGATGAACAACATCAGAAACGCGACGAAGAACTACATCTCATAGGCAAGTCTTTCTTAAAATCGTCTCATCTTTCATTTTATTGAATCTAACATACAATTTTGAAATCTAGAATGTTTTCAGGTGATTGACTCTTTACAAAACAACGAAGCGGTGAGCACGAATTATGGCTTGTGCACTCCGCAACCATTGCCCACTTTTGCACCAGTTTCCTGACAGCCACAAACGGGTGTGTTCAAGGTTTTGGAATAGGAAATTGACCACCGGATTCCAGAGTTCCGGGTCCAGAGCCGGGTCGAATGCCAGGTCTGGTTGGTTTGGTCGAATCCCAGCCCCAGTGACCAAGGCCAGGCCAGGCTCTGCTTCTGAATGGATGTGTCAAATAGGAGGCAAATAGTCAAATCTTACGACAACTCTTCTTCTAGACGATTTTTTGAGTCAATTGTAAGACCTGGAGGGCACTAGGCTGATTGCTTAGAGAAAAGCTTCACCTTTACTGTAAATTTCTTTGTCCTAAACCTCAAGCTTTCCATTTTTGACAATTTGACTATTTGCCTCCTATTTGACACATCCATTCAGAAGCAGAGCCTGGCCTGGCCTTGGTCACTGGGGCTGGGCTTCGACCAGACCAACCAGACCTGGCATTCGTCGCGGTGTCAAATGGGCGATGATGCGATAAGCAATCTAAAATTAAACAATTACTCCCACGGGTTTTAACAAACCTCCTCTGGCAATTGTGCCAAGAAGTCCTTTTGGAACAATGGTTGGTTCTCCGGCATGTTCGACATCTCCCCTAAATGAGAAATTATAGCAGAGATAACAACGTAATTAATAAAAGGAAAAGTCCCCGAACAAAATACCATTACTAGCTATCGTAAATACTGTAATAGTACCCCACCCGTGGGACGAACTAGAGGCCGGTGGGGTACTATCACAGTATTTACGGCATATACACCTGTTGAACGAATTGAATGAAATGAAATTTATGGCAAAAAGTCTCGTTAAATATACGAAAGGAGCATGTTTTAGAAAGAGGTTTACGGTAGAAGGTACACAAAACCATCTTTGGTGGTCCCACTTTTCAAAAAGCTCTTTTTCATTGCGCTTTTTTAGCAATGAGAAAGAGCTTTTTGGGAGTAATTGTTGATTTTTAGATTGCTTATCGTATCCTTGCCTATTTGACACCGAGCGACTTGATGACTTGTGCTGGCGTTTCGCGGACGTGGCAACGGCAATGTATAATGCACGTCGCATTATACATTGAGAGAACCGAGCGAGCGACGCACGAATCTCTATTGAATGCGAAGCAAACGGCTCGCAAAGGTCAAAGGTTTCGTCATATTGAGCGGTAAAAACTGATGGACGTCAAATTTTTTGGGGGATTCGTCTCTTTTTCTGATATTCGCCAACCAACACAGCGTATTCCCAGATCAGCGAAATGTGCGAGCTTTCGAAAGAGTCGCAGGCGAAGGGGATTCACTCGCCCGGTCACACCTGCATCGTACCAGAGTTCGTCGCTCGAGAAAAAAAAGCGAGAAGATAGGGTGATGCCACAATCCGACCGTTTTTCTCCTCGATCTTCGCGTTGAACAGTGTCACTTTGACACCCCAATACTCGACGCGACGGGCCCGCAAAACAGGACGAAGGAGTGCAGATCGTGATTCACTTTCAGCAATTGAAGTGCCTCGAACACCTCCGATTTCTTCAGAATCTGCGCTTTGAAAAGAGACGGCAAAGAACGGAAACTTTTGAAAGTCAGCAAATTGTTCTCGCAACGATGTTGATGATCGACCAAATCGGCAAATTTGAATCGAACCGTGTCTTCCTAAAGTACCACTCTAAGGGCTTGAACGAGCGCGTTCAGAAGACCATTCTCAAGCATTTCATCGATTGGTGCGACTTCCTCGATTTTCGATTGTGTTCCGCAAATCTAAAAGAAGCACAATTTGAAATCATTGCTACATGAAACGAACTCTCTCAAAGCAGTGTTTGTCTTCAACAAAAGGATTCGAGACCACGGCGACAACTTCCCCAAAAGACATCAGCGGCTGACGAGCTAAATCAAGAAATGAGGCTTTTAAAAACGATTCCAGGCATTGTTTTAACCAGAATCAAGCACGTACCAGCAGCAGTGGCCGCCTTTGCTTCAGTGTTGCCGACGGAGATGTCATGGTCGATCCTTGGCTCATCATCATTTTCGTCATCGTCCACAGCTTGTCGCCTAAAAACAGAACATTAATCAATCATAGACTAAACAATATTTTTCAACATATAAACTGATCGGTCGGTATAAACTGAAATTTTCAAAATTACCGATTGGTTGAGTTATTCAGAATCCTGGTGAATCGCTGAATGTGCGCCAATACATTTCTAACGTAACCCGTGTATAACAATAAGCACTCTTACCTCTTCATCATCAAGTCCTGGCGCTTCTGCTTGAGAATTTCCATCGATCACTTCATATGACGCCGCCTCATGTCCTCGTGCTTGCATTGCTAGGCGTTCGTCTTCTCATGGTTCAGCCATATTTGTGTCACCGGAAGCCATTTCTAAAGCAGAACACGATTAAAACTCAAGAAACATTACTTTACGACTTTTTGCTGTGGGAATTGCAACAAAACACTTACAAGAGACTTTAGAAAACTTTATCAAGGCAAAGCATTTAGGCTCAACTTTCAAAAAACAACTCACAAGTTTTAGCGACTCGGTTGGCGATTGCTGAGTAGTGGCCGGCGTGTCGTAGTCGAACTCGCGTTGACCCGCATTGGTAGTGGCGGCAGTACGATTTCCGGAAAAAAACACAAATTATACAGGTTGACAAGTGGTTTCGTTTAGAACTAGCAAAAGAGAGGAAAATCAAAAGAAAACAAGTACCTGGAGAGGGAGAGCTCGTGTAAAATCACTAAAATGATTTTAATTTTAGAAATTCCTGTTAAATACAATTTGACAAGATGTCTGAATATCTTTTTGTTTAAAAGATGACTATCAATATTTCGCCATTTTTTTGAACATATTTTAACTATGAATCAAAAATATTCAGCTAAACAATTGAAAAGTCGTTAATTTTTCGATGAGATCGTTGCGAAAAGAGATTTCGATCATTTCGCCCAAAAGATTTCTGCTGATTGGTGCGCTTTCTTGATTGCTTTGCCACTTTGCGATATTTCTTGCCGGAAAGTTGATTTTGAAGCTAATGGAAATGCAATTCTTACGATTCTTATCCCCTTATTGCGCACGCGGGCCTAGTTTATGGGTCTAGAAACAAATTTTATGTATTTGCAGCTGAAATCGATCCTGTTGCTAATGGAATTGCGATCTTTGCGCTAGTTGAAGCCTTGTTGCTTTGGTGGTTGAGAGGGGCCGCTTTTATCCTGATTTCGTTGGATCTAATGTTTTGAGTAGTTGTATTGATAGCTTTTATCTACCTATTCTAGGATAGTCAAATAGGTTTTATACTTTTAGAGCATTTACAACATGGTTATATTGTGGCTTTTATTTGAGTTTCAAGCTTTGAGGTAGTGTGTGATGGTTAAAGTACATGAGATTAGGCTAGAATGGCCAGAAGCTTCCTAAAATAGTCACCAATCTATTAAACATTTTTGATTACCCTAGAATAGATAAAAGGTATCGATACAACCACTCAAAACATTAGATGTAACTAAGCCAGGATAAAAGTGGCCCCTCTTAACCACCAAAGTGCCAAAGCTTTTGTAGCTTTATAGTTGAAGCTGAAGCCCACAGCTTTGTAGGAGTTCAGGAGTTATATTTTATCTAGAATTCAATTTTCCGACGCTTAAGTCAATCCTGATTCATTGCATCCTCGAATAGCATCTCAATTCTTGCGTTAATTGTTTCTCTTTACCCCTTCTGCCTTAGCTGAAGCACTTTTCATTTCGGTATTTGTCCTCACTTCGAAGCACCCTAGTTTGTATTCTTTCAGATATTGCAACTGATCAACTCGCTTTGGACAAAATGTGCGACGAAGAAGTGGCTGCACTCGTGGTTGACAACGGATCCGGAATGTGCAAGGTGAACTTTTGGATCTCGTAGCCCCTGAGCAGGGCGAACTGTTGTTTAACTTGTTATACATTGCCTAGGTAACTGTTTTTTTAACGTCAAACTACTTAAGCTGGTTTTAGTTTAAGTTTTGCTCAAGTTACGGTACTAATTCTTTTTAGGCTGGCTTTGCTGGTGATGATGCTCCGCGCGCCGTCTTCCCGTCAATCGTCGGTCGCCCTCGCCATCAAGGGGTTATGGTTGGAATGGGGCAAAAGGACTGCTACGTCGATGATGAGGCTCAATCCAAGCGAGGCATCTTGACGCTCAAGTATCCAATTGAACACGGTGAGGATTTTTTGTGTAATTGGGAGATGATCCAAATTATAAGAATTACTTTACGGAAAATGGCTTTAAGATGGCCATTACGGAAAATGGAAATTACGGAAAATGGCTTTAAGCAATGGAAATTGCGGATTACGGTAGGTAGTGCATTTAAGAATGCGTCCCCAAAATTTTTCTCTGTGAACGCTGCATCAATCAACGCTGAAAGTGGGCACTAACACCGTTGATTACAGTATAAAGAAAGAAAAAAAGAAAGACTAAGGTAGAGAAGAGAAAGTTGACAAGTCTACATTAAGTTAAGTCTTGTCTAAGTGTTTTAAATGATCCAGTATAAGTGTTTCAAAAATTCTAGTATAATTGTTTATGAGAAATATAATGCTACGGGATAAACTTAGGTTCTAGTGTTCAAATTGAATTGCAGTCTGTTTTCTGGGAAATTTAAGAGAATCTTTGAAGAAAAGTTTATTCTTTTTAAATAAATGTAATATCTATTAGTGAAATAATTGTATTAAAGGGATATTTGTTCTCATTAAGTAGTGTTATAAGGTTTTTCGTGTGTAGAACTAAATCTACAAGGCTGCTGCAATAACGGACAACCCTCGGGGACACTGGATTATTAAAAAAAATTGTGGGGGACCGATACTTCAATGTCGCGTGGAGGGCAATGCTGCAGTTTTCCCAGGGGGGAGGGGAAGTAATTCAGGATTTCTGGGGAATGTATTATCGCCCCCTCCCCCCGCTGTTTACATTCTACCATAAATCTCTTGATGGCGCGTTCGATCTGCATCGTGCGATCTTCCAGCGGTGGGGGAGGGCGGGGGCTTCTTCGGTAGGGGGCGATAGTGTAGTTTTCCCCAATCCTGATAAAATCACCTTCAACACACCTATGTTTGATAGATTATGGCATGCAACTAACGTATTTTTTTGGCATTATAATAGTTTTAAAATCGTATACGTCGATTTTATTGCACAGCTCAGTGAAGAGTTTCTCAGATTTTTTTCTATCAACGAGAATGTGCACAAAAGTGTATTTCGTGGATGAAGTGCTAAAAAGCGCAATGAAAAAGAGCTTTTTGAAAAGTGCAACCACCAAATATGTTTTTGTGTACATTCTACCGTAAATCTCTTGATGGCACATTCTAAAACGTGCTCCTTTCGTATATCTAACGAAACTTTTTGCCACAAATTTCATTCATTTCAATTCGTTCAGCAGGTGTATATGCCGTAAATACTGTGAAAGTACCCCACCAGCCTCTAGTGCGTGCCACATGGGTGCTACTATTACAGTATTCACAGGAGCTAGTAATAGTATTTTGTTCGGGCACTTTTCCTTATATTAATTACGACGTTATCTCTGCTATAATTTTTCATTTAGGGGAGATGTCGAATAGACCGGAGAGCAGCAAGACTCAAATCCAAGCTAATCCAAGTGGTTTATCCAATATCGAAGTGGAATTGAACCAACCATTGTTCCAAAAGGACTTCTTGGCACAATTGCCAAAGGAGGTTTGTTAAAGCCTGTGGGAGTAATTGCTTGATTTTAGATTGCTTATCGCATCATCGCCCATTTGACACCGCGCGATTTGATGACTTGTGCTGGCGTTTCGCGGACGTGGCAACGGATTTGTGAAGATGATCAGACATGGCGACAGAAATGTTTCGAGAACGGATATGTGGAATTTGATGTGCCAAGGTTTCTTTCAATTTTAAGTCGATAATATAACACTTAAAAACACATATCTGATACATTTATAATAAACTGGATTTTAAGATTTGTAAAATATAGGACAATAATTTTATTATTCGAACAGAAACCAAGATATGAAGCGAGAGAAAACATATGATAATGTTTGTTTAGATGAACTGGTTCATATTTAGGAAATGTAAAAAGACCCGTCTCAAACGTGTTTTTTTAGTTTTCGTTTTCTTGGAGTTTGGGCGGCGAATCCAGCGCCCCGAGCAAATAAGCCAGCGGGAATCACATTCTGTTCACATATGGACTTTCAAGAAGCACAGCAGAATCGACGAGCACGCGAGATAGCATATGGACAGTTAGTGACCTAACTTGTTGCGAAATGAAGTTTTTTCTAGATGTTATGAGCGATCGTCATGGAAGTCTCTGTACTTGCGAAAGAAGCGAATCATTTCGAATTGGCGATCCCGGGCGATTCAATCTAGCACTGTCCAAATGGTTTAAACAAATGTTTTGGCTATAAAAATTGTTTTTAGGTCTATGGACAGATTGATCATCTACAAGTTCACTCTGGTCGTATTGTTACTACTTCTGATTATCATACGTTGCAGGTCTGGAATGTTGATGATGCTCAAGTTTGTTTCGTTTAACTATTGTTTTACGTCTTCATTTTGCCGGCTTTCAATCTAGCTCGCCAGAACGGTCCCGGTGATTCGTATCAAGTGAGCGAAGATGGCAAATACATTGTCAGGTTGGCTAATAGACTATAGCTAGTGCAATTCATAAGTGTTGCCAATGAAGCTAAAAAGTATCAAACAAAAACTCGTATGAGAACAAAGTCTATTGTAATATTTCAGTACCGGGTTTCAACGTGGAACGGTGGACGTTTTGTGTGGTCAAACCGGTGCACAGCTTCATGTTCTGCGGGGACATACGGATGAGATTCGATGCATCCGTCTACATGGCACAACGTGAGTGATTGGAATTTTCTGTTTTAGCCAAGACTGTAATGTTTTCGTCTTGTTTCTGGCTCGTCGGATCAAACACTCCGAGTTTGGAACATTGTCGACGGGAAATGCCTTCACATTTTGGCTGGCGAGGCGTGGTATGTGGTATGTGTATTAAAGTTATGGCTTGAACAAAGTTAAATTTCAGAATTATTTGCAATTTGATGGAAAACGGGTTGTATTTGATGGCCGTGATTGTACCGTAAAGGTTTATACAGTTATTAGTGCAATTTATAATATTCTATTAGGTTTGGCATGTACACACGGAAAAGTGTTTGCATACACTGACGGGTCACACGAGAAGTATCAATTCTCTTTTGGTGAGTTGAGTTGTCAAATTTTGGTTTTAATCGGGATTTTTTTTAGTTTGAGCCAAAGCGCGACCTTGTCGTGTCGGGTAGTTGGGACGAAACGATTCGCGTCTGGGATGTGCAAAGAGGAAGTGGGTTTTACTTTTTCACTATTCTGTTACAATATCATCTATATTTGTTTCTTTCAGCATGCATCGCACATCTTCCTTTTCGTCAAGAGCTCACGGGTCGCTTTGGGATGCAGCTTCGCGGAAACATTTTGGCCTGCTATTACGACTCGGACATTTGGGTATGTTTAATCAATCCTATGATAACTACTTCTATTTCTTTAGGTTTGGGACATTCGTGAGGGTGGCTCGTGCCTTCACCACTTACATGGCGTAAATGGTCAGACGTCGAAGATCACTTCATTGCAATTGCTCGACTCCGGACTTTTGGTGACAGGTTCGGTTGATGGCTCGGTGAAGCTGTGGGATGTGGACAAAGGTATGCTGTTTTAAATTAGCTATAGGGCTATAGGACGCAAAATCCAGACTTCTTTATGTTGACTATGTAGAAGTTTTTATGTAGACTAACATTTATGAGTACGTAACATGATTCATTGACGATTCAGGCTTAGAAATATGTTGATGGTTAGTATTCTGTGGTTAATTTTTCATCAACCATGCAAGAATTTTTCATTTTCAGGTATCTTTGTTCGTGACCTTATTCGTCTTCAATATAAGAATTGGATTCTGGATCTCAAAGCCACTGAAACATGGCTCGTATGTGGAGTTCGATCGGGATATCCGGGCATTGAGGACAGGCTCATCTGCATCGATTTTGACGCATCATATCCATAGGTATATTTGTATTTTTGCTCTTTCCCTAGGCCTTATTGTGATTTTCGGAAGAATTCTGTCGGTTTTTCCATTCTTCTGAACTTTCATTGCTTGTGACTTCCTTTCAATGATTTTATATACTTCTATGCCATACTCTTGATTGTGTGAACCTATTTTTCCATTAACCTGCTGTTAGTCATTGACCTTCTTGAATGTTTCAGAATCGTCAAGAGCAAACCATTTTTAAAATTACTATTTCTTCGAATTAGTTGGTTGGTTGTTGTCAACGTTCGATTATTTTTAGTGCATATCGAGTCTTGTGATTCTTTATTTGCTCGATTTTTCAAGATTCAAGAATCTATACCTCACCGATTTAAATCTAAATAAACTGCACAAGCAACTGATATTGGCAAAAAAAGCAACCCAGGTCAACTGCTAGACTCCTTCAATGAATACGATTCCGCAGATGAAAATTTTCACTCCAACAAAAGCTCTGGCTTTAGGCCTACAATGTTCAAATGTACGGTGTGTTTTTAAACTTTTGATTGTTCACACTTTTCAATTAACTGAATCTTGCTTACCATTTTGTTACACGAAACTAACGAAGAAAATGCACCCACTTAAGGTGAACTTTTGGATCGAGATCCAAACAATTCTTTTTATTTTGATCTTTCAGCACAACTTTGTTTTATTTTTATATTTCAGAAGGTATCATACTAAATTTTTATATAGAAGTCTGTAAACAAGAATTCTAGAATCGACGCTCTTTCTTTCTGCTTTCCTAAAAGAAATCGCCAACAAAGATTGTGCAGAGAATAGGTGTTATGAAAGATCGTTTATTCTGTCCTGTTTGTGGATGGTAACAACTGTTTTGTTTGTTACTTCACTTTTTATCATCAATGTTGAGCTGTCAACGTTCAATTTTGTTCATAAACCTCAATACAAAAAAAATTGATTGTGATACTTCCTGACATCGAAAGCTAAAATTTAAGTGTTCGGCCATCGCCGTTATTATTGGAATCTCCAAGCCTCTGAAACTTTACTCGTCTGTGTAGTTCGAGTTTGGGAAGACCGATCGGGAGTGGAGACAAAGATCATCTTGATCGATTTTGACGCATCATATCCATAAGTATATTTGTATTTTTGCTCTTTTTCTAAGCCTTATGGTGATTTTCGTCTTACTAGGTCCAAATTTTTGTCAAATGCAAGGTCAAGGTCTTTAAGCTTCGTACAGAAAAACTTTGAAATGCCCTTACTTTAACTTTACGCCAAAAAAATTCCTTTTTCGCTTTCTCAAATGGCATAAAGGACCTAACCCTTATGGTTTTTGCTTTGAATTTCACAAGCTTCGTTGGTTCCTGTAAACATTCGATATTTTTTTAATCCATATCAAGGCCTGTGATTCTTTATTTTCTCTATTTTTCAAGTCTTTATAAATAAAGTATATATCTCTTGTTTGCTCGCGAATGTTCTCATAACAACGGTCGTTTCCTTTTTTGTCAAGAGTTCCCTTTTGTGATTCTTTCCAGAGCTGTTTTTGATGCTTTAAACTGTGTAAGTCGTATTTGTTATGTTATGCACAAAGCGATATTGGATTGTTTTCAAAAATGAGAAAATCGATGGAAATTCTATTTTTGATAAGCTATTTACTTTGGTGACGGTGACGAGGATTTGACGAATCGCGAGGATTGTTTTTTGAACAGGTTTTGATCGAATTTGACTTTGTTGACTGTTGAATCAATAGAATATTTTACTATAAGCATAATTTCAAAGAAAATGAGGCTAGGTCTTGTTCAGATTCGATCAAAACTGGATCATGAGAAGCCTTGGCCAGATCCCACAGGCCAGAGAGGCCAGTGGGACATTTGCCTTACCATTGAATTGGCTTAAAACCTTGGCTTCGGCCTAGAATGAACAGAAGGAATCAACTTGAAAATAGACAAAGAAAATAGAGAAGGCCAGGCCTTGAAGCCAGAAGCTGTCTACAAGGAATCTAACCGAACCTTTTTCAGCAATTTCTTTACCCTTGGTGCAACGGGTTGCGATGTGACGCCTTTCAAACAATACAACAACATTCGTAGCTTCAACGCTTTTCACAAGCCACAAGTTCCACAATAGCCTTGATCAATCTAGAGAATCGAGCTCGACAGCAATACGGTCGAAGAGGCGATGAACAACATCAGAGACGCGACGGAGAACTACATCTCATATGCAAGTTTTTCTTGAAAACGTTCAATCTTTCATTTTATTGAATCTAACAAACAATTTTGAAATCTAGAATGTTTTCTGGTGATTTACTCTTTACAAAACAACGAAGCAGTGAGCGAAGCAGCCACAAACGGGTGTGTTCAAGGTTTTAGAATAGGAAATTGACCACCGGATTCCAAAGTTCCGGGTCCAGAGCCGGGTCGAATGCCAGGTCTGGTTGGTTTGGTCGAATCCCGGCCCCAGTGACCAAGGCCAGGCCAGGCTCTGCTTCTGGATGACTTTACTTGACCTGTTGTTGATCCAGATCTGGCCAGCCTTCTAAACTAAAGGATCGTTTTCATCCCATGTCCCCTGTAAGGATTTAAGGATGTAAGACAGATCGGCTGCTGGTCAAAAGCAAGGTTCGGTCCACTGGTTGACATTGAGCTCATGAAAATAGACTTGCTGCTGATTCTAATGGCAGAAGGTCTGGCCTGACCGACCATATCTATCTATTGATACCTGTTTCTGGCCCTGGTCCAGGCTTGTTCTAATCTGCCAAAAGCAATGACAATGGTTTATTGGTTTATTATGGCCGATCGTAAATCAATGGCCTTTCTGCTATCTCTTTCCTTAGGTGGTGCAAAGGGTAGGTTGGCTTAGGCTCAGGCTTAGGCTCAGGCTTGGCTTAGGCTCAAGAAATCTAGCCAGCTTTCTTTAGGAATCCAGCCGTAAGTGAATTGAATCTCTACCGTATACCTGTTTAGTTGTGGTACAAACGGCGCCTCGACGATCAAGATTTGTATGCGGTTGTGAAAAGGTTGTTGTCTATTTTCTTTAAGAATCTTGCATTTACAGGATCAAATCTTCGCCACAGTGAACCCGAATCAACGGCAGAGGAATTGATTTCAAAAACACTTTTGATAATGCAAAATTTATCCGATTACACACAAAAACTATCTACAAAATACCCTGTAAACTGGCCAAAAAAATGGAAGAAGAACCAAGGAATTCAAGAATGAAGTGTATTGCATTGAATTATCGCTAAAAATACTGTAAGAACCCGCATAAAATTAGAAAATCGATGTGTCAACCAGGAATGTCAAATAGTCAAATTATCAAAAATGGAGAGGCTTAGGGCAAAGAAGTTTACAGTAAAAGTACAGTTTTTTACTGGACAATCAGCCTAGTGCCTTCCAGATCTTACAATTTACTCAAAAAATCGTCTAGAAGATGAACGGAGAGGTGGCCAAGCTCGTGTACTTGTGCGAGGTCACGAAGGGCGGAGAGCTAAAAAGTGATCTAGATACCGTAACATAGCTTCTTTTTGTAGCATGAGATCCAGAATTTGGAAATTTGATCTTAAAAAGGCGATTTAACCGTTTTATAGTATTTTATTGGACTTGAAGAGAGCTGAATCTGTTATAGATAGTGATCAAGCTACAGTAACTGGATCTTTTTTAAGCTGACATCCAGGATTCAGATATCAGTGGGATTTTTTTGGTTATGATGCTTTTTTGGCGATATTTCACCTGGGTCACGTTTGCTCCAAGGGCAAGAAACTCGTAAATCATTGATCGATAGATTTGAGTGGCGGTTTTTGTGTCATCTGAACGATTTGTGATTGTTCCCTTGCCGTAATTCTTGCTTCAAGCCCAAATGCTGATTTTTTAAAACAAATACCGCCGCCGTTCGCCTTCTCGACAACATCATCAAAGTCGACGAATAACGGGATGAGCTCGGCGTTGAGAACGAACTGAAATTTGAAATTTTCTTGAAATTTCTTCGATCTGGAGCTCAGAGCAGTATGTCACAAACTTGTTGCCTTCGAAAGTCCCGAAAATCGATCTCGGAGTTGCGGAGGAGGAAACCGGTGATCTGATGGACGATGGCGATCCGTTGCTGTAAAGTGACAGCGAGCAGGGATAAGGTAGTCACTATTACCCCGAATAAGCTAGAATTCCCGAATTTTCTACTTTTCCTAGATCCTGGAACGCACTTGATAAGATTTGACCGAAATTAGACTGTAAATCAACGATCCTGATTTTAGCAGCAACTCCCTGGACTACGGTAACAATGTAGCCAAATCAAAAAAGCGGGTCTCGAGCTTAAAACTTTTAGAATAAGCCTTGTGCGCAAAATTATTCGAGCTAAACCCATTTGAATTGAATTTATTCGAGTTGAACTTGTTCGAATTGAATTTGTGAGATGTATCCTCAACTTTTTGATGAGTTTTCTTGTCCAAACTTCGTAGAGCTTCATAATTTTGCCTAGCTTGAATTTCAATTTCGATCTTTTGCATCAACTTTGTAGTGTTCCATTCATCGCCAGAGTCTCGTTCTTTCTCGACAACTTTTGCTATGATCGAAATATGAAACTTTGTTTTGATCTCGCAATTCATGAGCACGGATTCAACATTTTCCCCTTGCTCTTCCAAACTTTCAAGTAAACCTTTCAAGTTTATCAACGCGTAGTTTTTTTGCCGCCTCATTTAAAGCAGTAGGTGTGAGAGGATCGCAAGAAAGGTTTTCATAGTTATTGTTACATGCCGTAGGTGCTGTAATAGAGTGACCCCCTATAGGAGTGTCGCGTAGTTTACTGACGATGACGTAATTGTATACTTCTTATTGTCCTAATTGCCCCTGCTGGTTTAACCATCAAGCTTACCTTGCACCGTTACAGTATATTTAGATTTTTTGTGTTGGATTACCTAAATTGAACGACTACAAACTTGCAGTCGATGAAATTTGCATCTAATCCAACAGATTTTGTCTGTTTGTTGGTTCGTTCTATGTTTTTTTGTTTTTTTATGTTTGTTTATGTTTATTTTA